CATCATCATCATCATCATCATCATCATCATCATCATCATCATCATCATCATCACCAGCAGCATCATTATCATCATCATAGCCATCATCAATTTTCCTGTTTCCTGTTTTTTTGTATGAATGTGAGCGTGTTTTTTTCTTGAAATATAACATTCACTTCCATGTTTACACATTGTATAAGTAACCTAAATATATACCAAGCACCAAAAAGGCACACGTGCCAAAAACATCATGAACGGACGTCGTCGATGCAATTTGTGGTTTTAGAGACAATGCTGTCCAGGTACTTGATTTTTCAATTTCTGCCAAAAGTTTTGCCTTACAGTTGATTGGGAGTAGTTTCTTGTGACAAAAACAGCATTTCTACGCTAGAATGTCGTAGTTGGAATGGTCGGATTTTGTCTCCTCTCTCTTTTGAAAGTCAGCCTCTCCCTGTAGTTGGTATCGCTGCTTCTGCTAGAAAGACGGATGGCCCTGCACAAGGCGTTCCTTTCGATTTCAGTTCTTTCGAGTGCTTTGGGGGTAACCTGTGCAAGCTGGTCAACTAGGATGCAGCAATGTGCCTTGGTGTACATTAAATATGTATCATGATTTTATACAGTTTATTATTCTAGCTAAGGTACACTAAATTACGAGAATTTTGTACAGGGTTTATTGTTCCTTACTATAAAGAGATTTTCTAACGTCCACTAATATCGAAATAATATGGTAAATTCCATGTATTTCTTTATTTTACACTGTTTTTCAAAACATGCAATTGGTCTTTATATGGTCTCTCGGGTCGAAATCCGTGTCTTCCTCTGTCAGTCTTTTATCTATAGCTGTTCTATAATTATAATTGAGTTGAACAGTTTTCCAGGCACTCAAAAAGCGCTATTCCTCTCGAATTGCCAGTCCTTCGTCTTCTCTTTTGTCGGAAGTTTTATAATACTTTCCTCCCTTCAATCCACTAGTCCGCATTCTGGTTAAAGAGCGCTATTAAATAACAGACAGAATATCTAATAACACTATCATTCATATATAATAATATGTATAGGTCTTGGTTCTTTCCATGTTTTCCCTTGTCTGCCTTGCTATTTTCAGACACTGTCTCTTTGTACCCATTCCACTCTCCAAAAAGGGGGAAATCAAAAAGAAAACGAAGAGAACCCCCCTCCTAAAAAAAACACTCCCCCCTCCCAAAAAAACATCAACAAAAACAACAAGAAACAGTATCATTGCAAACAACACACAAAACAAAATTCATTTCCTACCATACCTCTATTTTCCGTTTCAGAAAATGGGAACCGGCACAGATGATCTTCATGGTAACCTGGAGACAGAGAAAGAGAAACAGTTCATAGCAGTGTGGTAACACCTCTTTGTTATTTGGGGGGGGGGTTGCCTTATTATTGTATTTTGTTTTATGGAATATTATCATGGTTATCATAATGATCATTGCCATCAATTTTATTGTTATACCTATGTTTATTATCCCTATTTTCATTATTACAATTATTATTATTGTTATTATTATTATTATTATTATTATTATTATTATTATTATTATTATTATTATTGTGCTGTTGTTGTTGTTTTATTATCATTATTTTATTTTGATTTCTAAGTAAATAAAGAAAAACAAGAACAAGAACAGGGACAAGAACGAGAACTAGAAGAACATAGCACAATTAATAACATCATTTATAATTATGTGACAGAGTTATCATTTTTAACACCAAAAAAATACCATTGTTATCAATATTTTCACCATCATTATTATTACAATGTATATATTAATAGTGTTGTTTTTTATTGGATATTTTTATTATCATAGTTGAGGGGGTGAGGGGTTGAGTGGATGGCCAGCGGGCTTATTCGGCAGCAGAGCCAATAATTCCTCTATCGTGCCTACACGTGTTTAGTTGTTTAGTCAATTATAATATTCTAGTTCGGTAAGTTCTTTTGCTTACATGGGGACAGGACGAACAATGGGAAGGTAAACCCATAACCTCTTTAAAAAAGTATATGTGAAGCGTGCTAACAAAATGAGTTACTTCTCGCAATCCATGAATGGAGACATCAGCCAAAAATCAACACAAGGGTCATATTTGTAGACTCTAAACCAATGCCATTCTTTTCAAGTTTAACAATATTAACATGTCTTTTATCATTTCATACTGATATATTGTAAAACTTCAACCTATAAATTTGATGTTTCTTTTTTTCCTTCGGGCTAAAATCTGAGAAGTAACTCATTTTGTCTGCACATTTCACATATGTTTTTTGTTTGTTTTTGTTTGGAGGGGGGGGTAACAGAGGCAGTAACAATACCAAGGAAAACCCCCACAATTAAATGCAGTACTTTACACGGTTAAAAATACACTTCGTCGAGTGAAAAATAAATAATGTTTTGCATTAATCAGACATCATCAAATGCATGAATGTTATTGCCCATTTCGAAGTAAGTCTTTCTTAGAACTAGCTTTTAAAGGGTTTTTTTCTTCTTCTGTTAATCTTGTAAATACCCTAAATTTATTTTTTTTAAAGAACGTTTCCAGGGCCATAAGGTAGAGTAGGGAAATATTATTATAAGGGTATGTGACTATTCCCATCAGAAGGATCGAACCGAAAATTTGTACCATGAACTTCAGATTGACCACATCAATTCAGAAACGAAATATTATTGTGTTTTTGTTTAAGTTCTTTCTGGTCTACTTCTGAACCATAGAGGACAGAGGCAACACTGGCCTGGAGGCTTGTAGGGAAAAGAAATGTTCTATTACATATTACTATTCAAAGGATTTACTATTATGGAGAGACCTTTGTGATTGACAAGGTCGGGCTCTTTATCGTTGCACATAAAAGACGTGCATAAAAGACTTGGGTTAGTTTCAAAAGCGTAGAAGTCCGTATTATCCAGTGTCCCCAACTTCTACAGAATATTATTATTGCGTCTTTCTAAGCGAGTCTGAATAGGAAAAATCGATGAAGCCGCGCTTTTAAACATTCCAAATTATAGCAAGAAAAACATTTTGGTATAATTACAGTCATACATTTGTTATTAGAGATATCATCCCAAAACACCCTGTCCTACTCAACTTCCAAAGATGTTAGTTCAATGAGTTTGGATCTATCTGTCTATCTGTCTATTTTCCTTCTGTCTATTTCCATCTTTCTCTCTCTCACTCTCTTTCTCTCTATCTCTCTCTATCTTTCTCACACTCTCTCTCTCACTCTGTCTGTCTGTCTGTCTGTCTGTCTGTCTGTCTGTCTGTCTGTCTGTCTGTCTTCTCTCTCTCTCTCCTATCTCTCTCTCTCTCTCTCTCTCTCTCTCTCTCTCTCTCTCTCTATCTCTCTCTCTGTTTTTCTTGCTACCCCCATCTCAAATGCCTCATTAGGTCTCAGAAGATGTATCTAAGACTGCCTTGAACCCCAGATCAATTAGCATCTCCCCACCGAGGGTCAATGCTCGCAAAATCTCACGTAAGCGCCAAATCAGGCGATAAGAAGATCAGTTCTACAGATGATATGCAACGAACTTACAGTTGTTGTGTTTCGCCCTTCCAAATTAGAAGTACTATGGAAGTAAGAATGCGTATAACTGTTATAGGTTGCAAAGCGTATGGGGTGCAAGAACACGCCACAATCACTCTAGTGACCAATGACACAACCGCATGTACTTTGGATGGTTTTGAAGCTTACATTAATACTGGCAGGCAAAATAAACTCAAATTTTTTACAGTCCAATATTTTTAATTTTTTAAAACTTATTTAGATACATTTACACTGCTAGTTATTTAGATAAATTTACACAATTGGTTTGTAGTCTTTTTCTATGACTGTGAATAAATGTCTCAGAAGGTTCGAATGGTCGGTTATAAACAATGCAGTACGATAATCGACCACCTAACCAGCACATTAAAACATTTGAAGAGTACTCACTGGTACTAATGTGCTGCATATCTTCTTTGTGCTGTTCTGATGCTCACTCAGACAAGTAGACAATGCCTATAAAATGCTTTCTGGCGGTTTCAGTGCACACTACAACCCGGCTGCGATTGTACCCGACGACCTGGGAGTTAAAGTAGAAAAACCTTTAACCTACATGAACTACACAGAGGGCGTAAACCGGGCTACGATTGGCTGAACCGTTGACCAATGAATACATAAGTAAATCCTCTGTGTGTGTGTGTGTGTGTGTGTGTGTGTGTGTGTGTGTGTGTGTGTGTGTGTGTTTGTGCATGTGTGCATGAGTGCTTGCTTGCTTGCTTGCTTACTTTAGTGGCTCTCTCCTTTCTCGTTTATTTCTCACTTTCAATATATCTGAGACCTAGATCTAGCAGCTAACATTGCTAGGTCTCTGCATACATCTCTCAACTTATCTGTCTCACTCCCTGTCACTCTCACCCCCCCCCCTCTGTAATGCTCCTCCTTCTTCTTCTTATTCGTCTTCTTCCTCTAGGCCTATGAGCGCTCCAAACCCACAGTGAAAAGTGAGAAGACGGTCAAAGGCGTGAGACAGACACCGTGAATTCCCTGGCTATTTAATGTATTCATGGGTCAAAATGGACACGTGACTCAGCCTTGTTATGATTGGCTGCAAATCACCCGATCGTGCGATTCGCAGACCTGAAAATAAACTCGTTTGTTTTTGTAGGTCACCGACAGAGTCGATCGGTTTGTGCCACGATGGCCGCTTTGCGCCCTCAATTTGGCTTGCCCCGACTACCCGACACGCCCGACCCGACCCGACCCGACCCGACCCGATCGCGTATGTGGGCACCCCCTATTAGAATTGTCAGACCAAGGGTGGAAATTGCTTTGAAGGCCTATCGAAAGTGCATCAACATCGCCAGGATCAATGGGTAAACGCCTAAGAAACTTCCTAAAGCACAACTTGGCAGCTGGGCAGCCGCTGAGTGACAGTGATATGAGACAGATTTTGGTAGCTGTTGGTATTTATTGCAAGTGTCCTAGTTGGAGAGCAGTTCTGACCGGATGTCACTGCTTGCGTTGACTGCAATGGGCGTAGGATCGTATAAACTGACGAAATCAACAGTGGAGACATATATTACTATGACGAGAGCAGATTCTGTGAGGATCTATTTCATGAATGTATGAAGCCGCGTATACATGTGTTGCTCAGACGCTTTGCCGAGTTTAAAATGTTATTATTGGGGAGGGGGGGGGGATTGCCCTAAATCAGTCAGTTGGGTCTGTCATTTTTCAGAACTTTGGCCATGAGCGCAGTAATGGTGTCACTGTCCAACAGTACATCCCACTAGTCTTCGTGCATCAGGTGGGGGCCTTTTTTTCCAATGACATCAAAACTTCTTCAAGCAGGACAACGCAAAAGCCCACACATCTAATCCCACACAAGACTTTCTGAGGCAGAATCAAATTAATTTACTGCCCCACACAACTTGCTCATGGGACTTAAACCCCATTGAGCACCTTAGGGACGCCTTACAGTGACAGCTCAACGGCATTCACCCAAGGTCTCAAACAGTAGCACAGTAGGGCCCAGCTATAACTCATGTGAAGGGGCAAATAAAAAAACAGGGAAGTCAACTCCCTTTATAAAAATAATGTATCGCGGATGCACACTAGTAATTGCAGCCCGAGACAGCCATTCAAAATGTGCACTAAGGTCAAGATCACACATCGATTATAGTGACGTTAAAAGTATCCCAGCATTATTCGACAAATGAAATAATATTTCACTAACAAATTTATATAAATGATATTGTCTTTTGAACTTGAAACTTGCTGTCTGTTTATTGACTTTTGCTTTTCATATTGCTTGCACGTTTCGTTTGCCAGTCAGTACGATTTATGGATACTTTGGGACAGTCCAATCGGTTACTTTCTATAGCTGTTATACAATTATTCATCCGCTTGTAAGTCTAATGCCTTACTAGCAGACAATTAATGTGTTAGGGAAGAGGCCTTCATTTCAAAACCTAAATATTTCATAGATACGTTTTGTTGTGAGTAACTAACAGATTTAATGGAGACCAGGACACAACAGCTGAGCCTATGGAGAGAAGGGCATCAACCCTAGCAAATCTGGACTAAGAAGTAGTTTACTCCCTGCCAGCACGACAACTGACGCATTTGGGAAACAACAAAGGTCCACTCTGGGGAACTCACGTCAAGGAGAGGTCAGCCAGCCCGCCTGTTAAAGTACATACCCCTGTTAAAAATTGTAACACAGCTGCAAAATTATATGACAACCATAATGTTTATACTGCTTAAGCTTCTACTTCCACCTCCGCGTGCCGAGCTGGGGCAACAAATACACAGTAGATTTTTGGAAATTCTAAATTT